GCCTCTTCACTTGTCTGACTGTTTCTTTTGTAGTACAGAAATTTCTCAATTTGATGCAATCCCAAATGTTAATTTAGGCTTTGACTGCCTGCGCCTCTAGGGTCTTTTCCAGGAAGTCTTTGCCGGTGCCAATATCTTGCAAGGTTTCTCCAATGTTCTCTAACAATTTGATGGTGTCAGGTCGTACATTTAGATCTTTAATCCCTGCTGAGTGGATTTTTGTATAAGGTGTAAGGTAGGGGTCTTGCTTCATGCTTCTGCATGTGGAGATCCAGTTTTCCCAACACAATTTATTGAATAGACTGTCCTTGCTCCAGGAATTGGTTTTAGATCCTTGATCAACTATAAGTTGGCTGTAGATGTTTGGGTTGATTTCTGGTGTTTCAATTCTGTTCCATTGGTCTATCCATCTGTGTCTGTACCAGTACCATGCCAAGATGGCGGAATAGTGAGGGCGCGCACAGATAGTCCAGGAAAAGATAGTTCAATAAAAGTGGAGTTACTGAAGTCTCAGGAAAAGGCTTGGGAAAAAATTACAGAGAAAATTTTTCCGGATCTAGTGGATGTGACACAGAAGACCTACGGGGAGTGCAAGGACGCCCACAGCGCGGAAGCCCAGGTGCAGAAGCCGAGACGTGGATGCCGAGGCACAGAAGCCGAGCCACAGAGTCTGCGCGCCATCGCTGGAAGGGGAGGTGAGACAAAAAGCTCAGTAACCCAAGTCATTGGCGGGGAAAGGCAGAAAGAGCCTAGAGGGCCAAAGCAGAGTGCAGGACTGGAAGAGGAACAAACAGGACTAGAACCCAGTGCACATATGGGATGTTGGCACCGCAAGGTGGAGGATTAACCTAGTGCACCACGGCACCAGCCCCTCCCACTGTTATATTTAACAGGGATCACTTTTCAGTTAAATAAGAATAATTGTGTGTTAATAGAAGAGTTCAACCAATGGCATTAAGTAGAACAAAAAAAATACTAAAAAGAATAAAGTATTAAGTTGTTCCTCAACAACCAGGACAAGGGCTGATCAAGTCATTGTTTCTCATAGTGTCCATTTCAATTCACATATTTCCTTTTAACTGCTCAGGTAGTTGTCACTAATCAGGGAGAACATATGATATTTGTCCCTTTGGGACTGGCTTATTTCACTCAGCATGATGTTTTCCAGATTCCTCCATTTTTTGCAATTGCAATCCCATCAAGGTGATATGCACCAATGCTATCTCATTAGTCAAAGTAATCAGTTTCAGTTCATAATTGATCATAATGATAGGATTAAGAGTCAAATGATCACATAAACAAGACTAGTGTCTGCTAATACTAACTGAAGAACTAAAGAAGAGAGAAAAATACAACATGTGAAGTGGGGTATACAGCAGACTCATAGAATAGCAGATGTCCTAAACAACACTCTAGCCTCAGAATCAAACCTTAAGGCATTTGAATCTGGCTAAAAAGCCCATGAGAGTATTTCAGGCATGGAAAGCCAAGACACTCTGGCAAAAAAAAAAATAAAATAAAATAAAACCTAAATGAAAGATCTCTATGAGTGCGATCCCAGTGGAAAGAATGGGACATCAAAGGAGGTACTTTTCTCTGAAGGGAGGAGAGAACTTCCACTTTGGCTATGACCTTGTCTAAATAATATCAGAGTTTGTGAACTCAACAGGCTTCCATAGCCTTGGCAGCTCATGACAAGAGCCTTGGATGATTACTGACGTCATAAATACAAGTGTCAATTGTTAAATCAACAACAGTAGTCACTATGCACTTACTCCTTATGTAGGATCTCTATCCTTAATGTGTTGTACTATGTGAATTAACGGTACAACCAGTACTCAGATAGTACTTTGTACTTTGTGTTTCTGTGTGGGTGCAATCTGTTACTTAGTATGTACTAAACTGATCTTCTGTATATAAAGATAATTAAAAATGAATTTCAATGAAGAATGAGATGGGAGAGGGATTGGGAGATGGGATGGTTGCATGTGGCAGGGTGGTTATGGGGGGGAAAAGCCACTATAATCCAAAAGTTGTACTTTGGAAATTTATCTTTATTAAATAAAAGTTAAAAAACAAGAATTCAAACAGAAACCAAAATATGAATGAAATAAAAATCAGGATGTCTCTCAGTTACATATGTAGATGAATAAAATATTAATATGTATCAGCAAATTCAATATATAAATATATTAATTAAATCATGCTTCTCAAAAAGCATATTCTAGAAATATTAGAATGATAGTTTTTAGTGCTGAATTGCAACTTCTACAAATTACTTTTTATAAAGAAAACTCCTGCTTCTTTTTGTTAATGTAGTGTGCCCTTTAGCACACAATTTATCAGTAATCTTTTATCCAGAGTTAATTTAATTTTCATTATCAAGAAAAAATGTTGAAATTCTTGGGACCAAGAGTATCATATTTCAGATTTTGAAATATTTTCTTTTTCTTTTTCCTGGCAGAGTTAGATAGTGAGAGAGAGAGGGAGAGAGAGAGTTATAGACAGTGAAAGAGAGACAGAGAGAAAGGTCTTCCTTCTGTTGGCTCACTCCCCTAATGGCTGCTACGGCTGGTGTTGCGGTGATCCGAAGGCAGGAACTGGGTACTTCATTATTATTATCCTTATTATCATTGGTAGGTTTCACAACTAAAGCCCATGCGGGTGCAGGGACCCAAGCACCTGGGCCATCCTCCGCTGCATTCCACAGCAGAGAGCTAGACTGGAAGAGGAGCAACTGAGACTAATACCTGGCACCCCAACCAGGACTAAAACCCAGGGTGCCGGCGCCTCAGGCGGCAGATTAACCAAGTGAGCCATGGCGCTGGCCTGGAATATTTTCATATGCATAATGAGATGTATTGATTTTAGGGACAAGACATGTCAATTTTTTTAACTTTTATTTAGTAAATATAAATTTCAAAGTACAGTTTATGGATTACAATGGCTCCCCCCCCCATAACTTCCCTCCCACTTGCACCCCTCCCATCTCCTGCTCCCTCTCCCATTCCATTCACATCAAGATTCATTTTCAATTCTCTTTATATACAGAAGATCGATTTAGTATATATTAAATAAAGATGTTATCAGTTTGCACCCACACAGAAACACAAAGTGTAAAATACTGTTTCAGTACTAGTTATAGCATTACTTCACATTGGGCAACACACTAAGGACAGATCCCACATGAGAAGTAAGTACACAGTGACTCCTGTTGTTGACTTAACAATTTGACACTCTTGTTTATGGCATCAGTAATCTCCTTAGGCTCTAGTCATGAGTTGCCAAGGCTATGGAAAACTTTATATGCATCTTATAATATTCAAATATAAATTTTGTATGATTATATTTAATGCATCTGTGTTTTTTAAGATTTTTAAACATCGAATTGTCAAGTTAATTTATTTATTTTCTTTTGAATGGCGGAGAAAGAGAAATAGAGACAAATCTACAGAGATCTTCCATCTACTGATTCACTAACCAAATGTTTACAACAGCTGGGATTGGGACAGGTTGAGGCCAGGAGCTAGAACTCAATCTGGAAGTCCCTTGTGGGTGGCACTGTCTCAAATACTGGCATTAGAAGCAAATCTGATACTTGAATCCAGGCGCTCAGTTATGGAATGCAGGTATCCCCAATGGCATTTTAATCACTGTGCCAATTCTCCACCCCTGCATCTGCATTTTGACTGTTATCTGTCTCCTGAGGTTAGATGTGAAATTTTCCACAAATTTTGAATTTCAGAAACTTGGATTAAGACTGTTCGATTACATTAAACAATACCAGTTACAGATTATATAAAAATTATCTTTAAATTTTTTAAGCTTATTTACAGTGGACAGGGATACAATAAATACAATTATTGTTAATTTTTTTTCAGATTTTCATTGTTTTGGATTACCAAAATAAATAAAAAGGCAAGTAAATAATTTCAGAAATTATCGCTTTCTGATTACATGATTACTTTGAAGATGTTCATTTTGCAGACATAAGCAACATTGAGCTATATTTGTTAATACTTTAAAACTATGACAAAAAACAGCCAAATCAATGGAATAAAATGAACATAAATATGAGGACCTCAAATTAATTATCTAAAATGGCTTTTTCTATAATGTTCAGAAAATGTATGAACTTGCGGAACCATGTGTGTTTGGATGGTTAATTTTTAATGGCAAGTCTTTGGTTATTATCATTAGTAGATTTCACAACTAAAGCCTACAGATATGAATATTTTATTTTCAAAGATAGATCAATAAAAACCAGGTCTACAAACTCTTTCCTCAATACTAGTTATGAGGCTGAAGTTTCAAATAGTGGTAAAATGGAAGAGATTAATATAAATTCTGCAAAATAAAGTATACAGAGGAAAAGACAATAGGAAAAAAAAGAGAACTAGAGAGATATAGAAGACAGGGAAGAGTGCTAGTTCAGAGAATGGGGCAGAAGAAACATTTGATAAGGTAATTCCAAGGAATTTGTCAAAACTGCTGAAAGATATCAATTCAAAGAATAAAAAAGAAACCCTGAGATCACCAAACAAAAAACAAACTATACTGCAATACAGTTGTTCTCAATGTTTGATTCCAGGTCCACCATTATCAGTATTACCTGTGACTTGGTTAGTGTTACAATTTCTATCTTCCTTTCCTTCCTTCCTTCCTTCCTTCCTTCCTTCCTTCCTTCCTTCCTTTCTTCCTTCCTTCCTTCCTTCTTTCCTTTCTTTCTTTCTTTCTTTCTTTCTTTCTTTCTTTCTTTCTTTCTTTCTTTCTTTCTTTCTTTCTCCTTCCTTCCTTCCTTCCTTCCTTCCTTCCTTCCTTCCTTCCTTCCTTCCTTCCTTCCTTCCTTCCTCTTTCTTCTTTCTTCTTTCTTCTTTCTTCTTTCTTCTTTGTATCTCTCTCCCTCCTTCCCTCCCTCTGACACTCCCTCTCCCCCATTCACTTTCTTCTTGCTTTCTTTCTTTTTCCCTTTTTTAAAAGAAAATTATAGTAACTCCCACAAATAACAGATGACATGTAATATTTATTTTTCTGGGTCTGGCTTATGTCACTTAGCATAATGATTTCCAGTTCCAACAACTTTGTTACATATCTCAGAATTTCTTCCTCTTCATGGCTGAATAATATTCCATCATGTGTGTATATATATATATATATATATATCATTTTCTTTATCTAATCATCAGTTGATGGACACCTAAATTGATTCCACATTACTGCTATTGAATTGCGCTACTATGAACATGGAATTTCAGTTACCTCTTTCATATGCTGATGGGGTATTTCCAAATGCTATTTCCGTATGCTATCTGAATATTTAGATATTTGCTTTGGATATTTCCAGGATTTGGATATGGGTCAAGAGAGGATCTATTTTTAGCTTTCTGAGGAATCTCCATACAGTTTTTCAGGGTGGTTGTAACAATGTATAACAGTACATGTTCTCCACAGTCTCACCAACATTCATTTTTTTTTTTTTCAATTTTTGGATGATAGCCATTCTAACTGGGTTTATGTGAAACATTGTGGCTTTTATTTGTGTTTCCCTGGTGGCTAGTGATCTTGAGCATTTTTTTCATGTGAATGTTGACATTTGATTTCTTTGAGCAATGTCTGCTCATATCATTGCCCATTCCTTAACTTGGTTGTTTGCTTTGTTGCTTTTGAGTTTCTAGATCTACTTACATATTCTGGATACTAATCTTTTACTGGATGCAGTTTGCAAATATTACCACTCATTCTGTCTGTTGTCTTTTCATTTTGTTAATTGTTTGCTTTGCTGTGCAGAAGCTTCTTAGCTTGATGTAAAGATATGAATTGCCTATTTTTGCTTTTATTGCCAGTAGTTCTGGGATCTTACCCAGGAAGTCTTTGCTAGGCTAATACATTGTAGAGTTACTGTACAATTCTTAAACTCCACTGAAGGTCTGCTGAATCAGAAACTCTAGAGATGGGGTGGGGCACAACAATCTGGATGTATTGAAGCCTCTCCAAGGGAATGCTTCCTAGCCACCACTGATACAACCTGACAAAAGTGGAAAACATAAAACACAACAAATCTTAGTATATCGAAAACATTGGAAAATTTGACCAATTTTATAACACAACTCTAACCTAACACATAGGCAAATATTTTATCAAACAATAACAACTTTAATGTATAATATTTTCTAATTGCTAAGCATGAGGGTGGTCAGGAAAATAGCCGGATATGACAAATGCATCAACGATGTTGTCAAAGTTCATAGATGAAGTATTTTATATATGATCAATGTTAGCTTTTATTTTTCATGACCACTTTTCACTTCACAGAATAATATATATTTACTTGGCTGTGAAATCTTCTTTAAAACATTTTTGTTAAATGTTTCTTTGATTACAAACTCCTTAGTAGTTTTAGGATGGAGGGTTCATGTAAACCAATATCTCCTTTAAATCACATGTGAATAATTCTCCTACATTCCATAAGTTACTTATTTTACAGAGATATTTTGAACTATCTAAATTAAGTGCATTCTTTGCCAAAATTAAGAGAATGTTGATCACTAACTGATTTGATTTTTTAAGGTAAAGAAAGCTGATCATGTTATGCTTTAAACCGATCTTCACATAAACAAAGAATCAACGGCAGTTTATCTTTTTTCAAACATTTCACGAGGTAGTTGAGAGCCGACCATCCAAAGAACATTGACATGGATGACATTTAATTTATCCAAATTCAATAATGTTGTCCTTTCAAGAAGATAGAATTTTTTTCCTAAGGAAAATCTTGAAAGTTATTCAAAGTTTGAAGTAGTGTATGTGTATGTTTGTGTGCAAGCTTGTGTGCAATAGGCATAGCTGTCAAAAGATCAAAGTGAAATATAAAAATGTAGAAGTATTCTAACTAGATATATTTCATATCCTACCTATTAAATGAAAATAGTCAGCAAAACAGATGCCTTAAGTCATAAAAAGTGGAAATAATAAATATTTTAGACAGATCATGAATACAACTGTGCTGTGTGTTAGCCATCATGATACATGAATCACAATCATTTTTGATAACAATATTTTCAAAGTAGCATAGTCCTTTTAAAAAAAGTACAAATTTAGTTGATGATGCTGTAGTACTGTACATAATACATAATCAATGACATAAATTTGGAAATGAAAAGCATCATTTAAAAATCCTCTGCCTGTGGCGCCAGCACACTGGGTTCTAATCCCGGTCAGGGCACCGTATTCTGTTACGGTCGCTCCTCTTCCTGTCCAGCTCTCTGCTGTGGCCTGGGAGTGCAGTGGGGGATGGCCCAAGTCCTTGGGCCCTGCACCTGCATGGGAGACCAGGAGAAGCACCTGGCTCCTGGCTTCGGATCAGCATGGTGCGCCAGCCGCAGCAGCCATTGGGGGGTGAACCAACAGAAAAGGAAGACCTTTCTCTCTCTCTCTCTCTCTCTCTCTCACTGTCCACTATGCCTGTCAAAAAAAAAAAATGATAGTTTTTATAAGAGAGAAAAAAAATGGGAGGTTTTCAAAGCATCACATTTTTTAGGTCAAACAAGGAGAAGTAGAAAGGAAACAAAAATTGAAAAAAAAAAAAGTAGTATCAGTTGTCGCTCCCCCTCTTCGTGGAGGAACGACACAGGACCCTGCGCTGTTCTTTCGCCTGCTCGGCCCTTCCCAGGTTTCCTGCTGGTTCTTCCCGGGTTGGCTGCCAATCCTTCCACCTCCGTGGAAGGGCGGTGCCCCCTGCCACTTTCCCCACTTCCGCGGGGGAGTGGCACACCACCGGCCGGCTCTCTTGGGGGCTGCTCAGATGTTATCCGGATGTTCCCTTTAGATGTTCCTGGTGCATGTTGTCTCTCTCCTCCTTTATAGTCCTCTTCCACCAATCCCAACTCTGCTACCCACATGCCGAGTACGCTGCTCTCCTCCAATCAGGAGCAGGATCAGCTCCTGCAGGTTGTTGGTCGAACTGGAGGCAGCTGTGTAAAAGTTGTTTACTCCTCTCCCAGCGCCATATTGTGGGAGAGCAGATGCATAGAATAAGTCTTAATTCCAGTAACTTAGTCTAGTCTGAGTTGCTCCCCACATCAATAAATAAATGAAATATAATAAATATATATAAATATAAAATATATAAATAAGTAAATATAAATATATTTCCTATCTGTTAGGTTTATATATAAATGTGTTAGGATAATTTATAGTTCTCTATGTTAATTTGGAACAAGAATAGAAATTAATCAGGTATTTTCCCAACTTTCCTATTCAATATCTGATACTATGGAAAAGTGATAATCACCTGAAGGCATGGAATATCGGATATAAGGATATTATTAACTCATAGGTTAAGTTCTGATAAGAAAAAATTATATGTTCTTCCTTACTGATATAAAGTAATGCAATGGATAATAATACTGGAAGACTGTATTGCACAGAGATTCCGTAAGTTATCTTGGGAATAAAGAATGTCTGGATCATGAGTCTGTGATGAACATCTTCCTCTCCAAAAAAGACCTAAATGATAGTTTCTATGTTTAAATAAATAAAAATATAAAATATGATAATCAATATACAGCACTTAGAACACTGTCAGGCATATATTAACACTCAACATATGATATTATTATGTTTTTTTAAAGATTTTATTTACTGATTTATTTGAGAAGTAGAGTTACAGACAGAGAGAGGGAGAGACAGAAAGGTCTTTTATCCACTGGTTCACAACTCAAATGACTGCAATGGCCAGAGCTGGGCCTTTCTGAAGCCACGAGCCAGGAGCTTCTTCCAGGACTCCCATACAGGTGCAGGGGCCAAGGAATTGGGCCATCCTCTACCACTTCCCAAGGACATAGCAGAGAGCTTGGTTGGAAGAATAGCTGGGACTGAACTAGTGCCCATATGGGATGCCAGTGCAGCAGATGGAGTCTTAGCCCACTACCCCACAACATTGGCGCTGATATTATTACTTTTTAATATGATTGAGCAGATAAGCTATGTGCTACCTCAAGGAACTCTTTATGTTAATATTTTAACTGATCTTCCTGAGAATTTTATGAATGCACATTATTTTCATCTGCATTTTACTGATAAAGAAACCTATGTATAGTAAACTTAAATATGTGGCTATGACAAGTAAATTTATGTATATATATAAGCTAAATAAAGCAAGGAAATTTAAGTATATATAAAATGATGTGGATGATAGCTCATTGTACAATTCAATTAATTGTACTTCAATATTCAACAGAAGTTGTTTATGCATACTTCAAGTTTTATTACACAGAATATTATAAACTATGTATACAATGGTCAGGCTTCAATAAAGTTAAAATTTTTAGTGCTTTATATAGGCATGCCATATGAAATCAGCTTTTTGTTTTCTTGGAGTAGATGCAAGTGATGGATATAGTGCTCATTAGTATAGGGTGTGCCATTGCTTTCATTCTATTTGTGTGCCAGAGGACTTACACACCATCACTTTTGTATCATCACTGTGCATGGAAAGGGACTACTTGCACATTGGCTTACAAATAGTTTCATATCATAGTCCTCCTGCTAAAGAATCAGTCTGTAGGTGCCTGAGAACTATGTTCTCAGATCCTCTCTACTCAACATTTCTGACAGAAATTCAAGTATCATAACTTATTAAATGCAGATCACCTCTCAGTCCTAAGTACATGTTGCAGCTGTTGCAGTCAAAAAATCAAGCAAACCGGTAGAGCCAACCCCAACTTCTTGGGCTACTTTGTTGCCAGAGTAAGCAGGGCAGTTAAGATTGTAGTATTTGTCATAGCCTGCTTTGTGCTGTTATAAGAGAATATAAGAAAGGGTAACTTATTATGAACAAAGATTTTAAGCTTTTGTTTTGATAGGATTGGAAGTTCAAATTATGGGAGTCACACCTGATGTGAGCCTTGTTGCTGCATCATACTGTGGTAGAAGACACCCAAGGGAAAGCCAGAAAGTAAGCAGAAGGGAGCTGAATTCACTTTCATATTGTACCCACTCTCATCCTAATGAACCTGTTCCCATACTAAGGACATTCATCTATTCAGGAGGGCAGAACCAGCATTATCTAATCACTGCTTCATGACTGATTCCAATACATACATTCCAGGGCACATGTTCAAACCATAGTAATATTCTTAGGAAAAGAAGCTTTACCTTTGGAATGCTCTGGCAAGTTCTTGGGGATTCTAAGTGGTCCTTGATCCATACCTTGAGATCTGCTGGCTGTGAGGATGCTGCATTCTCACACAGGCTATACGAATGGAATAAGTAGTGATGGGGTTAGTCCTGAGGAGATGATGCATTCCCAGCAATACAACTATTTCAATTGAGATTATTACAGGATCATCAGGCAATGGAAGCTAATTTCCTCAGGACAAAGAAAACAGAGCCACAGGTATTCCCAGAAGATCAAACTTCCCTACTGCATTTCATTTTTTAACATAAATTTCAGACTTCAAAAATTGTTTCATTTGTTTTTCTAAAGATGTATTCATTTCTTTGAAATTTAGAGTTATAGAAAGAGAGATCTTCCATTTGGTGGTTCACTCCCCAAGTGGACACAAAAACAGGGCTGGGCTGCCCCCAACCCAGGAGCTAGGAGGTTCTCCTGGATTTTCCTAGTAGGTGGCAGTGCCCAAGGACTTGGGCCATCTTCCACTGACTTTTCCAGGCCACCAACAGGGAGCCAGCTTGGAAGTGGAGCAGCAGAGACTCGAACCAGCAACCATATGGTATGCTGGCATCAGAGGCAGTGGCCTAAGCTACTGTGCAACAGGGCCAGCCCTCAAGTTTGTTTCATTTGTTTATAGAAAATTTAAGTTATCTAATTATCTGTTGATTTATACTTACTGTAGCCTATTTTAGCCTTATAATTCTACATTGTGAATTTAAATATTTTCTTATCAACATTTTTGCACATAATAAAGGATACTCTGTCCACTTAGGATCTACTCTGAAAGTTAATAAAAATGAATTTCTCTCTAGTTTAGTTAAGAAACAAAAAAGTAAAAATATATCATTGTCTGCTTATCTGTGCTTTTAGTAAATATTGAAAATGAATACTATTAAGGATACTTGCTAACAGTGTAAGAAAATTTTAAATCATTAAAATCATTGAACAAATATAATGGGTGTTCATTGACATATGGATCAATACAAACAAATGTTCTATTGATTGGAACCAGTTAGGTTTCCATTATTGATAATTGTGATTCATTATTAACCAGTTTATTATGTTGCATTGTCATGGAATGTTGTGATTTTAAATATTAATAAGGAAAGTAGATTTAATTAGCTCTGATTGAATTTTCATGTTCTTAATACAGCTACACTGTGAAATGTTTTATTTCAGATAACAAATATTAATCATTTATTCTACAAAGTCAACCATATATTTTCAAACATGTGTTTTATTATAATTAATAAATTTTCAATTCCTGAGTTTGTTATTTTAGCATAGTTTTTAAAATTTGAGTACTCCATTCTTCCAAATATAAATACAGTTAAATAATTTAATAAATATTTTCATGAAATAAATAGTTTTCTTCTGAATTTTTCCAGTGCTAAATCTTAATTTACATTGTACTTCCTTCCATTCATATGCATTAGATGTCATATCATTGAATTTTCTAATGAGTTGACAGTTTTTTCCTGGGAATGGTTGTCCACAGATCCCAATTCCAGTGATAAAATTGCTATTATTTGCTTTATCTCAAAAATACAGCAGTTGTCGAGGATGGTATGGGAGAGGTGCTGGCAGAACATAGATTTTCTTTCTTTTTTTTTTTTTTTTTAGAGGTAGAGTTACAGACAATGAGAGGGAGAGACAGAGAGAAAGTCTTCCTTCCATTGGTTCATTCCCCAGATGGCCGCAACAGCCAGAGCTGAGCCAGTCCGAAGCCAGGAGCCATGTGTTTCTTCCTGGTCTCCCATGCGCATGCAGGGGCCCAAGCACTTGGGCCATCTTCTACTGCTTTCCCAGGCCATAGCAGAGAGCTGGATTGGTAGGGGGCAGCCGGGACTAGAACCAGTTCCCATATGGGATGCTGTTGCCACAGATTGAGGATTAACCTACTGCGCCATGGCACTGGCCCCAGAACACAGACATTTGAGTAAAAGTAAGTTCAAGAGAGCTAATAATATTCTGGTGATTGTAGTTAACAATGAACTGTATAAAATTTCTAAGACAGTAGATTTTAAGTATTCTCTGTCACAAAGTTGCTTAAGTTTTTTATTACAAAGATGAAAAATGAGGTAATGCAAATCCTGAATAACTTGATTTAGTCACTCCACAATACATACATACACCAAAACATTATGTTTTATTTTCTGACTCTTAAAAATTTTTACTTGGCAGTTAAAAAATTCACTACATAGAAGAAATCTTAAAATAATTAGAACCATTTATATGTGCATATTACATTTCATAATTATTTTTAATTATACATAAATATAAAACATAAAAGTGCTCAGTTAGCCAATATTTCAGTGTATAGTTTGGGGGTATTTATGCTTTTGCATTATTTTGCAATCATCACCACTTTCCATTTCCAAAACATTTTTATCTTGCAGAATTGGAACTTGGTGGCAGGTTTTTTGGCAAAATAGTTAAGATGCAAATTGGAATAACCACATCCCACATCAGGGTACCTGACTTTGAGTCCAGGATCTGTTTCATGTTGCAGCTTGCTGCAGATGTGCACCCGGTAAAGCACGAGATGATGTTTTAAGCAGTTGGGTCCCTGCCATCATTTGGATACTGGATTAAATTCTGGGCTCTTAGTGGGCTGGTCCAGGCCCTGGCTCTTGCAGGCATTTCAGAAGTGAACCGACAGGTGGAAGATCTTTTTTTTTTTTTTTTTTTTTTTTTTTTTTTTTTTTTTTTTTTTTTTTTGACAGAGTTAGTGAGAGAGAGAGAGAGAGAGGTTTTCCTTCCGTTGGTTCACTCTCCAAATGGCTGCTACGGCTGGCCGGCGCTGCACCGATCCGAAGCCAGGAGCCAGGTGCTTTTTCGTCTCCTATGCGGGTTCAGGGACCCAAGCACTTGGGCCATCCTCCACTGCCTTCCCGGGCCACAGCAGAGAGCTGGACTGGAAGAGGAGCAACTGGGACTAGAACCGGTTCCCATATGGGATGCTGGCGCTGCAGGCAGAGGATTAGCCAAGTGAGCCATGGCGCCAGCCTGGAAAATCTTTTTATGTCTGTTTTTGCTTCCTTCTATCTGTCTACCTTTTAAATAAAATAAAACAAACTATTTTTAAAAGCTTGAAACTTCTACTAATAACTCAACATTCTTACTTCTCTCAAACCCCTGACAGCCATTATTTTATTTTTTGTCTGTGGACATGACAATTCAGCATAGTCCACCACTAGAATTACTATTTGTACTTTGTGACTGACTCAAGATCAATTGTTATGAAGTCTTTAAGGTTCATCCATGTTGTGTCAGGTGTTGAAATACATTTCCTTTAAAAATTTGATACATAAGTTCATTGATTCTCTCTTATGCTTATCCAACTCTGCTTTTGTATCCCTTTAATGAAATTTTTATTTCAGTTATTATACTTTTTGTTTCTGGATATGTTTTAGTCATGCTTTATGTGTTCTCTTTATTATATTTCTATTTCTTATTTATTTGTATTTGTGCACAATTTTTAACTCTTTCAATATCTTCAAGATAGTTGTTTTAAAGTCTCTATGTAGTAAATCTATCATTTACTCTTTCTCAGAAATAATTTATGTTCATCTTTTTCTTTGAATGGACCCACATACCTGTTTCTCATTTGTTATTTTTGTTGCTGTGTTAGCAATTCAATGTTTGAATCTTATAACGTGTCAAAGCTGGAGATGAAATTTTCTCCATTCTGTTGAGTTTGCTGCTTTGTGTTTTATTTTTAAAAATTTTTAAAAGATCATCTGATCTTTATATTAGAAACCACACACAGGTGTAAACTTAGAATCTTCTGTGGTCTTTTCTGAGCTTGTGTAGATATTTCAATGTCCACATTATGTACCTTTGTATTTGAATGTCATTATATTTATTTTAAAATATTTATTTATTTATTTGAAAGGTGGAGTGAGTAGAGACAGAGGGAGAGCTCTTCTATCCACTGGTTCACTACCCAAATGTCTGAAAAAACCGGGGTTGTGCCAGACCAAAGTCAATGGCCAGGAACTTAATCCAGGGCTCCCACATTGGTGGCAGAAACATAAATACTCAGGCCACAATGTGCTGCCTCCAATGTATATTAATGGGAAGCTGGGTAATGAAAGGTGGGACTTGATCCTAGACACTTCAATAGCTGGGTGTCCCAAGCTATGACAACCTGCTGGAGCACATTAGCCACTTCAAAGTTTACATAATCTTTGGGTGTCCAGGTTTCCAAATGAGGAAATGTTGGGGAAAATGGTTAGAACCTTTACATTCTTTAGAGATTTCTTCAACTAGAGGGAGAGAGACTTGAGATAATGAGGGGCCACTTATTTGTCTATACCTCTAAGAACAGAAAAAGCAACCATGATCAGAGCACAGATCCTTGATATTTGGAGGACAGGCTATTTATGCTTCACCCAAGCTCAAACAAGATGGGTGCACACTGTTGTTGGAATGAGTGCACATCAACCTGAAATGTGGTGAGAGAACGGAGATGAATAGCTATCATCACAAAATGATATTAAATTAATCACAATTCATCATCCTGGCCTTCTCATTGAAGTTGAAGGCGTTCAATAGACTCTTTTTTTATTATTTAATAAATGTGAATTTACAAAGTGCAACTTTTGTATTGTTGTGGCTTCCCCCCACAACCTCCCTCCCTCCCACAGCCCTTCCCTCTCCCACTCCCTCTCCCGTCCCGCCCTTCATCGAGTTTCATTTTCAATTACCTTCATATACAGAAGATCAATTTAGTATAAACTAAGGAAGGATTTCAACAGGCTGCCCTCACACAACCACACAAGGTTTAGGGTATTGTTCGACTAGTAGTGTTGTTTTTAAGTTTCATAGTAAAATACATTAAGGACAGAGATCCTACTTGGGGAGCCTGTACCCAGTGAAAACCATTGTTGATTTAACAATTGGCATTCTTATTTATGACGTCAGCAATCACCCGAGGCTCTTGCCATGAGCTGTCTAGGCTATGGAAGCCCCTTGAGTTCACCAACTGTGAACTTATTTAGTCAAGGCCATATCACAGTGGAGGTTCCTTCCTCCATTCAGAGAAAGGTGCCTCCCTCCTTGATGGCCTGTTCCTTCTGCTGGGGTCTTGTTCACCAGGATCTTTCATTTAGATTGTTTTTGCCATTGTTCCATGCCTGTGAGACTCTCATGGGCCTTTTAGCCAGATCTGAATGCCCCAAGGGTTGATTCTGAGGCCGTAGTGCTGTTTTGGGCGTTTGCCATTCTATGAGTCTTCTGTATGTCCTGCTTCCCCTGCAGGATCATTCTCTCCCTTATAATTCTATCCTTCATTATTTGCTTACACTGGTCTTGTTTGTAAAATCTCTTTGACACTTTCCCTATGTTTTTGATCGGTTGTGTACTTATACTTATCACTTTACCAAGTGTGCTGGCATTGGTACATGCCTCCTTGATAAGATTGAGTTGAAATCCCTTGGCACATTTCTAGTTCCACCATTGGAGGTAAGTCAGAGTGAGCCTGTGCCAACCTATATATCTCCTCCCTCTCTTATTCCCACTCCTATGTTTAACATAGATCACTTTTCTGTTAATTTTTAAACACCTAAGAATGATTGTGCATTGATTACAAAGTTCAACAAGTGGTATTAAGTAAGAACAAACAAAGCAACAACAACAACAACAACAAAAATACTAAAAGGAATAAAATAGTCAGTTGTTCCTCAACAGTCTAGACAAGGGCTGATCAAGTCATTCTCTAATAATGTCCATTTCACTTCAATGGGTATCATTTTAGATGCTCGTTTAGTTGCCATCGATCAGGGAGAACATATGATATTTGTCCCTTTTGGACTGGCTTACATCACTCAGGATGATATTTTCCAGCTTCCTCCATTTTTTTGTAAATGCCCGTATTTCATTGTTTTTTACTGCTGTATAGTGTTCCAGAGAGTACATATCCCATAGTTTCTTTATCCAGTCATCCATTGATGGACATTTAGGTTGCTTCCATGTCTTAGCTATTGTGAATTGAGCTGCAACAAATATGGAGGTGCAAATGGCTCTTTTTTTCTCCCCTTTAATTCCATTTGGGTAAATTCCAAGGAGTGGGATGGCTGGGTCCTGTGCTAATGTTACATTCAGATTTCTGAGGACTCTCCAAACTGTTATCCATAGTGGCTTTACCAGTTTGCATTCCCACCAACAGTGGATTAATGTCCCTTTTTCCCCACATCCTCACCAGCATATGTTGGTGGTTGATTTCTGTATGTAAGCCAATCTAACTGGAGTGAGGTGAAACCTCATTGTGGTTTTGATCTGCATTTCCCTTATGGCTAGTGATCCTGAGCATTTTTTCATGTGTTTGTTGGCCATTTGGATTTCCTCTTTTGAAAAATGTCTGTTAAGGTCCTTGGCCCATCTTTTATTGGGTTGTTTGTTTTGATTCTGTGGTGTTTCTTGATCATTTTATAGATTTTAGTTGTTAATACTTTATCTGTTGTGTAGTTTGCGAATAACGCCTCCCATTTTGTTGGTTGCCTCTTCACTTTCCTGACTGTTTCCTTTGCTGTAAAGAAGACTTTTCAATTTGAGGTAATCCCATTTGTTTATTTTATCTTTGATTACCGGTGCCTCTGGGGTCTTCTCCAGGAATTCTTTGCCTGTTCCAGTATCTTGGAGGGTTTCCCCTATGCTATCAATTAGTTTCACGGTGTTGTGGCGCAACTCTAGTTCTTTGATCCATGTTCAATGGATTTTTGTATAAGGTGTAAGGTAGGGGTCTTGCTTCATACTTTGACATGTGGACATCCAGTTTTCCCAGCACCATTTGTTGAAGAGGCTGTCCTTGTTCCAGGGGTTGGTTTTAGGTCCTTTGTCGAATATGAGTTGGTTATAGATGTTTGGATTGATCTCCGGTGTTTTTATTCTGTTCCATTGGTCTATCCATCTGTTTTTGTACCAGTACCAGGCTGTTTTGATTATAACTGCCCTGCAGTATTTCTTAAAGTCTGGAATTGTGATGCCTCCAGCTTTGTTTTTATTATAAAGTATTGCTTTAGCTATTCGAGGTCTCCTGTGTCTCCATATGAATTTCAGCATTGTTTTTTCTAGGTCTTTGAAGAATGACTTTGGTATTTTGATTGGTATTGCATTAAACTTGTAGGGGGAATGGACATTTTGATGATATTGATTCTTCCAATCCATAAGCATGGCAGGTTTTTCCATTTTTTTGTGTCGTCTTCTATTTCTTTCTTTAGTGTTTGTAATTTTCATCATAGAGGTCTTTGACATCCTTGGTCAAATTTATTCCAAGGTACTTTATTGTTTTTGTGGATATTGTGAATGGGATTGATCTTAGAAGTTCTTCCTCAGCCACAGCATTATCTGTATATACAAAGGCTGTTGATTTCTGAGCGTTGACTTTGTATCCTGCTACTTTACCAAACTCCTCTATGAGTTCCAATAGTCTCATTTTTTCTTTTTTTTACTTTTATTTAATGAATCTAAATTTCCAAAGTACAGCTTATGAATTACAATGGCTTCCCCCCCACATAACTTCC